TAAACTTCTACTGTTAAAGTGAATAATAGAGAGACCTCCATTTGTTATATTGATGTCATTAAACTGTTCTTCATTGTAATATTCACAGTCTTTTATTTCAGGGAAAAAATTTGTATCAATCACATCTTCAACATTGTATATTTTAAACTCTAAGTCTTCGTATGTTGCCATGTTTTAATGTATTTGTTCATTTTATATTTTGTTAATTTCTTGTTAGTGAAGTTATGTCAATGATTTATCATCTGTCATCTCCTGAGCTCATTTTAGTTTTTCCAGATCTTTCAGGTCTTTTATTATTTTAGCCTGAGATCCTTCCTGTATTTGGATCCAGATGTTTCCATTTCTTGTCCAAGTTGATGCTATTTTTTTGTTTTTTCAACCAACTTGCTTCACGTGCAATATTTCCATTTTTTTAGTTAGATGTTCATATATGTAAACATTTGTTCCCTTCAGTTTTTTTTGCTTGTATTATTACCCTGTTTCTTGATTTCCTGCTAATGAACTTGATGACTATGGATGGTTTGGCTTTATCTGATTTGTTGGGCAGGGTGTGACAGATTGAAATTTCCTCATGTTCGATGTCAATGTCTTTGTTTTGTAAAAAATTCACTACTTGCTCCTCCAGAGTCTGTAGTTCTTCCTGTGGTGCATCTTCTGCTGTGTTAGTACCAGCAACAACTCTTGCATGTGTCCGGTTCCTAACTTCCTGTCTAGTGATCACCAAGTTGTCTATTTTTGTGTATTGCTCCATGTCGTCTATTTTTTGTTCTAGTTCAGCTATTTTGTTGTCTTTATTGGTCATCAGTTCTTTCAATTGTCTCACTTCTTCAAACAGTCCGGTCAGGAGTTCACACTTAGTTGCTACTTTAGTCAGTTCAGCACTCAAAAAGTTCAAAGATTTTTTAACTTCCTCCATATCTTCTGAATAATTTTCCGACTCGTGATTTCTTGGTTTGTGTTTGCTCGGCATTACTCACAATACTTCTGGATCATTAGATGAACAGATGCTGCGAAATATTCATCAATTAAAACGGATTCCTCATTTTTCTGGACTGAATAAAACGTGCATTGAATTTAATGAAATGCAAACGTGAGACGTCATTTATCTTTGACCCATCAAAATGAATGCGGTCATTTATTTACAGAATCAAAGTTTAACATCAAACATTTACATTAATTTGGCAAAATATGAAAATAACAACATAATCAATCAATCAGGAAAACCATACGGCCATGATTTTCCGTTGCTTCACCACAGACATTTATGAAAACTGTACAATTATGATCAATTATCCACACGGCGGGGGATGAGCACTTTACACAGACATTTCTAAATTATCTGGAAGGATTTCTACTTGAGAGAAGAATTTAAAGATGGAAAATGAAGTTTAAAGGGAGTAAAAGATGGTATGTGAGGGGAAGTGTTCACCAGAACCGACACTCTCCATCAGAACCCAGCTTTCCTCGGTACGCTTCGGTAGGAAACTTGACTCATTACCTTTCTGAAGATTAATCAGCAGATATGGAGGTCCAGTTAACGCTACCTGTCCAGTGTCTCCATAGGATGGCTGTGACTCGTCCGAAGTAGTGACGAGATTCCGTCCGACACAAGCTCACCTCAGCAAGTGGAAAGTGTTATAATCCCATGAAACTCGGAAGAGCTCTGTGGTCATGTCAGGGTCTTCCCGGCTCCCAGCCAGACCCAACAGAACTTCACAGAACTGAGAACTGGGCAAATCCAGAACTGGCTCCCACAGCAACTGCACAGCACTAGGACATATCAGAACTGTCCGCGCCGCCGAACTGCTCAGAACTCACAGCACTGTGTAAACCAGGAAGTACCGACATTTTTAAAGAGCTCTTTTCCCGGTTCATTTGGGAGTCTTCCCATTGGTCAGTACCGACCAGACAGGGGTGTGTTTTGTGACGTAAGAGGTTACTAGGAGTCAGAAGACAGCAAGAATGTTATTGAACAGATTAAACTGTTCTCAGAGACAGAGAGAGTTTTGTTTTGGCGAGTTTTAGAAACAGGTGCCAGCTCTACGTCTGAGAGGATGTAAACAAGACAGTTGTTCCAACACATGTCTGCTTCGACTCCTGACCTTGGAAAACGCACACTTGCTCATTCAAAGACAGAAATCAGAAAATGCATAAAAATCTGTAACAGACCTTAACATGAATTCTAACTCTGCATAAGCATTAAAAATCATTATTATTGTTCTACAGTTAATAAAATTGATTAGTTCACTGCAACATCTAAAATGGTTTGAACTAAGACACATTGATTATCAACATTTGTAAAATAGTAATGATAATAAAAAGAGAGTGTTCTTCCACTTGATTTTCAAGAAAGAAAGTCTCAGGATGGGTGAACCTGTATTTCTGGATTCAAATCAATGAAATGACAGTTCCTGTCCCACAAGGTTCTTAAGGTCAAGGGTTTTGACCTTAGGCTTAGTCTTGACATCAGGTTAAGTTCACTACAGGTATCAACTCTCAGAAGCACAGGATCTAGCCACGAGGTTCACAGGCTTATGTTGTTAGCCGAGGCCTAGCGGCAACAACCCCGGGTCCCACTCGGTCTCTCGGTTCACTCGGCCCAGCAGCTCGCAGGTCCAAACGTCGTCAACCGGGTCGCCGTTGCAACAGCTCCCAGATCCGACAGCCGCAGCTCGGCTCCCTCGTTCCAGCGGCCCGCAGGTCCAAATGGCGGCAGACCGGGTCCCGGTTGTAACAGCTCCCAGATCCGACAGCTGCAGTTTGGCTCCCTCAGTTTCAGAGTGGATCAACCAGCAAACTGGTTGATCCACTCTGAGAAGCTGCTATTTAAGAGACTGAGCTGAATACAGCACCTCAGACTGAGGAAGTCTCTTGAATGAGAGATGAAACATTTCTATATTTTTTTGCTTTGTTTTGTTTTTTGTTGGTTTTTTTTGAATGTCCAGAGGACCAGATTGAACTTTTTTGGATTTCTCTACCTGGATTATTGAGCATGCATCAGGACATTTCATTCCATGTTTCTCCATTATAATACTGAATTTCTTTTGTTCTGATCACATTGTGAAGAGTGTTTTTCACTCGTGATATCTCTGACATATAGTGTGAACTCCTCTCTCATGTCACTCACGCTTCAAGAATTTTGTAAAAAGACCTTATAGTATTTACACAGCGCGTGTTTGTTCCAAGCAAGATTTTGTCTCTTCTTGCTCCAGCATCTGTGTAACTGTGCCCTGCCCCCCCCCCCCCCCCAACACACACACACACATGCACATAACCATGCATGCAGGCACGCAAGGGTACACGCATGCACCTCTGACCTGACTTAAGTAACATACAATTAAAAATACATGTAAACTTTGATGGTCATTCTGCTAGCAACGTATCACATGAACATCTCATTGGATTTGTTTGAAACTCACAGAAAGTAATCATCACATGTATCTCTAGAACTGATTAACTTTTGGAACCATTTTGATTCAAGATGGCTGCCATAGCTACCTCAGCAAACACAAACTTGACTATAACTCAGTCATTCTTTGAGATATTGAGCTGCAATTTAGTATGGTTGTAGCTGATAGCAGTTGTTATACATTCCTAATGCAAATCAAATATCCAACATGGCCACCTTAGCTAAAAGAGAAAAAATATGATAACTCAGCCATTTTTAGAGTGATTCAGCTGAAATTTTGCGTATTGGTAGCCGAGAATGATCCCTGACTAACGGAAAATCAAAAATCCAAGATGGCCGTCTGAGCTAACAAGGAAAAATACTATAAATCAGCCAGTTTTAGTCATATTGAACTAAAGTTTGGTGTGGTGATGGCTGAGAACATTTCCCATCAAATGCTGCATCAAAATCAAAAATCCAAGATGGCCACCAATGCTACTTTACTTACTTTAACTCAGCCATTTTTACACATATCGAGCTGAAATTTGGTGAGGTAGTAGCTGAGAACGTTCCCTATAACATCCATCCATCCATCCATCCATTATCTTTACCCGTTTATTCCATTTTGGGTCACGGGGGTCGCTGGTGCCCATGTCCAGCAATCACTGTGCGAGGGGCGGGGGACACCCTGGACGAGTCGCAAGTCCATCACAGGGACACATAGAGACAAACGAGACAAACAACCATTCACTCTCTCACTCACACCTAGGGACAATTTAGAGTTACCAATCAGCCTAACATGCATGTTTTTGGTCTGTGGGAGGAAACTGGAGCACCCGGAGAAAACCCATGCATGCACGGAGAGAACATGCAAACTCCACCCAGAAAGGCCCCTGGACCGGGGTTTGAACCAGGGACCTGCTCGCTGAGAGGCAGCAGCTCTACCAGCTGTGCCACCGTGCTGCCCTCCCTATAACATATTGAATCCAAATCTAATATCCAAGATGGCTGCCTTAGCTAAAAGACACAAAATGTGATAAGTCAGCCATTTTTTTTAGCTATTCAGCTGCAACTTGGTATAGTGGCAGCTGAGAGTGAACCCCAACACAAAGTACTGTCAAATCAATAATTTAAATCAGCAGTAACCTTGCAGTCCCCGTCAAAGTTTCTCCAGGAACTTTCTAATTCACCTTGCTGTGCTCTGAAATCCAGCCGGTTGAAGCAGATGGCCGCTTGTCCTGAGCCTGGTTCTGCTGCAGGTTGCTTACTGTTAAAGGGAGTTTTTCCTTTCCACTGTCTCCTTTGTGCTTGCTCAGGATGGGAGACTGTGACAAAGTGCTGCTACCATAGATTGAAAACTTTTACTAACTGGCTTTTATAATGTATGTTTCTGTTCAGTGGTCTAAGATGACTTCTGTTGTGATGCTTTAAATAAATTGAACTGAACTGAATTGAAATTTGATGCTGATAATGTTTAGCTTCACATGGCTAACTCCTGATTGTCCCGCTCCACCCTCACTAATTCAGAACTATTGTACTTGCACTATTGTTTGCAACACTGAATCCTCAACTCTCTGAATAAAATCACATGAAGAAAACCAGCGCATTTCACCTGATTTGCAGCAGCTGCATCTCCCTCAGCTTGGTCTGCTTTTTCCTGTGCATCCTGTGCCTTCTGGGGGGCATTCTTCAGCAGCTCCTTCAGCTCACCCAGTGAGGACTCCATTGGCTTCATCAGCTCTGATACATCATCCAGTGCCTTCTGTGCTGGACGCAGCTTGTTCTTCACCTGAAACAAGAGAAAATATTCAGTAAAGCCTGAAAGCAATTATTTCTGTGTAGCTAAATACGATAAGTCTGCACTTCCTACTTGTGTCAGAGTCTTGTTTAGGTTTTCTGTGGAATTCATGCTTTCTTGCAGTTTTTTCTCCAGGTCTGAGAGGGTCTTGTCAGCTGATTCCAAGCCTGTGTGCAGTATGCTCACATTAGCCTTCACTCCCAGTGCCTTGTGCCTGGAGTTAAACAACAAAAAAACATTTTTACACTGTGTACTCGTTGATATGTGTAGATGTATTTGACTTTTTTTTTTGTTGACCTGTAGTAAGCCTACTCACAGTGGTGCTTGAAAGTTTGTGAAGCCTTTATAATTTTCTCTGTTTCTGCATCAGTCTGACCTAAAACATCATCAGATTTTCACATAAGTTCTAAAAGGAGATCAAGAGAACCCAGTTAAACAAATGAGAAAAAATATTATACTTGGTCATTTATTAACTGAGGATAATGATCCGAGATTACGTGTTTGTGAGAGGTAAAGTATGTGAACCTCTCTAGGATTAGCAGTTAATTTGAAGGTGCAATTAAGAGTCGGGTGTTTTCAAACAATGGGATGTCAGTCAGTTGTGAGTGGACACCCTGTTTGATCTAAAGAACAGGATCTGTCAAAGTCTGCTCTTCACAACATGTTTGTGGAACAAAGGAGATTTCTGAGGAGCTCCAAAAAAGAGGTGTTGCTGCTCATCAGCCTGGAGAAGGTTACAAAACATCTCTAAAGAGTTTGGGCTCCACCAATCCACTGTCACACAGATTGTGTACAAGTGGAGGAAATTCAAGAGCATGGTTCCCTCCCCAGGAGTGGTGGACCAACAAAGATCAAGAGCAAGGTGTGTTGGTGAGGTCACAAAGGAGCCCAGGGTAACTTCTAACAACTGAAGACCCCTCTCACTTTAATGTTAATGTTCATGAGTCCACCATCAGGAGAACACTGAACAACAATGGCGTGCATGGCAGGGTGGCAAGGAGAAACCACTGCTCTCCAAGAAGAACATGGCTGCTCATCTGCAGTTTGTTAAAGATCACGAGGACAAACCAGAAGACTGTTGGAAGAATGTTTTGTGGATGGATGAGACAAAGTAGAACTTTTTGTTTAAATGAAAAGTGTTCTGTTTGGAGAAAGGAGAACTCTGCATTCCTGCTTAAGAACCTTATCCTTTCTGTGAATTGGTGGAACAATGAATTCTGAATCTGTCCATGAACTGAATCTGAAGAGAAGGTGGGTCATGCATCAACACAATGACCCTCATCACACAAATGGTTCTACCAAAGAATGGTTCAAGAAGAACAAAGTTCATGTTTTGGAATGACCCAGTCAAACCTGTCCCTTTGTCAGACCTTCACCCAATCCAGATGTTGTGGAAGGACCTGAATCAGCAGTTAATGTGAGGAAACCACCAACATCCAGAGTTGAAGCTGTTCTGTACAGAGGAATGGGCTAAAAGTCCTCCAAGGTGTCCAGGACTGATCAACAGTTACTGAAAACGTTAAGTTGCAGTTATTGCTGTGGGGGTGGGGGTGGGGTGTCACACCAGATACTCAAAGCAAAGGTTCACATACTTTTGCCACTCAAATTTGTAATATTGGATCATTAGCCTCAATAAAGAAATGATCAAATATAATATTTTGTCTCATTTGTTTAACTGGTTCTCTTTATCTCCTTTTAGGACTTGTGTGAAAATCTGAAGAAGTTTTAGGTCAGATTGATGCAGAAATATAGAAAATTATAAAAGGTTCACAAACTTTCAAGCACCACTATACATGGAAATAAATGTGCGCTGAATTCAACATTAGGGCCATATTTACAACTTTATTTACTCATGTCCTTTTTTATTTTCTCTTTCATTTTTAGCATTACATTTTTAAATTGTGTCTTTTTATCCAAACTTAGCTTTAAAATGTGTCTGATTATACCGTGGCATTATGTTAACAGGTGTTAGAATTGTTTCCAACGATTAGACATTGTTGGATATATCCATCCTTCCAGGGGTGACTTCCCACCTGGCATCCTGGGCCTCCTGCTGCAGTTTTCTGGCCATGTCCAGCTGGGGCTCAGCCTTCTTCAGCACAGCCGTGCTGTTTGGCAAATCTGCTGCCAAGTTCTTCAGCTCCTCCAGCTTCCTCTTCAATGTATCCAGACTGAGGGGCAGTTTGGTCATCATAATCCAGTCACTCACCTCCTGGATCTGGGTCAGGTTGGAGAAAGGGTCTACACCCCAGGACATTGGCAAAAGTTAGAGCAAAATGACAAAAAACAGTTTTTACTAATTGGTTCACAGAGGAAATCTTAAATGTTCTATACCTGACAGGAAGTCTTTAAGTTCTTTCACAGCTTTGCCAGTCTCATTTAAATCTTTGAGGTGATCTCTGGCCTCCTTTGACTTGTTGGACAAGTCCTTTGCTGACTGTTGAACTTGATTTGTTGTCTCTTGCGTTTTTTGAAGCTGTAAGAAGATCAAGTTAAAATATTGGTTTAGAATCTGTAAAATGTTAAATATTCTGATGATAATCATTTGCATTAGCAATAGATTTTACAACCTGGTGTGTAATAATAATAATAATAATAATAATAATACATTTTATTTCAGGGCACCTTTCAAAAACCCAAGGTCACCTTACAAACAAATCAGAATCAGAATAAACTTTATTATCATTGCACCGAGATACAACAAGAACATGTACGTACAGTCGTCTGAAAGATGGGCAGAGTGCACGAAGCTGCGGCTATAAAGCGCGGCCTTTTTATTCTTTTCAGAATACATTGTTTAGATAGAAAAAGGGACAAAGCCATGAGGATAGTGACATTACAAAAAACATCTCTCCACACCTTGTCCTAACAGGACACGATTTAAAACATCAAAAACTCTGCCAGCAGCACATAATGAGCATGTTACGTATGCATTTACAATGAGGTGGTCCATGAAGCACTAACAGATGGTCCATTGTCCTGATAATATGATGGTCAGCCGGCACAGTTCTGATACGCCTCCACAGAAGGGGGGGGGGGGGGGTGGGTAGATGAAGCTTTTCCTTAGTTTACACATTTCCCCCAAGAGAAATTGATAAGTCGGCCTGCTCTGAGGCCAGCTGGTGAGAGATTCAGATAAACACAATTGTTGATTTACTCAGACAGACTGTTTTCTGTCAGCCTTGAGTCTGTACTGGTACTTCCAAGGTCCAAATGACCAGATCAGGGTGCATTCTTCTGGTCCATGCTTACGAGCCTCTTCAAAGTCGTGTTCATGCCGTTCATGCTGACGAGTCCCAAAGCCGCAGGTGGCCTGCGATTCAAATCACTGCCAACTTATGTTTTTGCTCGTAAATCAGCTGATTTTGAGTCCCCCAGCATGAGCCAGACCTTCACATGGCAGCAGCCTATCAAGGTACAAATTAGCTGCGACCGTCTTTTTGTATGTTACCTCTGAGTTACCTTTGCTTGTCAGACAGGCCCCCTCCCTCTCGGTTTTCAAGTCCCGTTTAAAAACTCACTACTATTCAGTAGCTTTCAACACCAGATGATCTGTGTTTGATCCTGTACGCTCCACACTGGTTTGTCGTCATTATCTGCATCGTTTTTATGTCTATATTCTGATTGACCTCATTGTGTATTTTGCTTTGTGTGTTACCTGTTGTTCTGTCTGTACAGCACTTTGGTTGGCTTTGTAGCTGTTTTAAGTGCTTTATAAATAAAGTGGTATGGTATGGTAAGTTGATAAACCAGGATCCAGACTATTTCAAAAACAGGAAACCTTTATCATAAATCCAATTATATGCAATGTTGGCGTCCTCGGTCATTAGCAGAGATAGACACATCCCTCCCAGAGATATATCCAGCTGCATGTGTGTCATCCGAACAGATGAGGGTTCTCCAGGACCCTGTCGCTTTGTTGAAAAGATTTTGTAATATACGTCGAAAGCTCAGTTGGTCAGATCCAAAACAGCAGTTTCCATTTCGGGAGATTTGTAAAAATAGGAGCTGCTCCAATACACAGACAGAGAGCAAAATAGAAGAAGGAGATCAGGGAGCGGGGAGAACACATGTGCCTCATTAAAGAGTTAGTGAAGAAAAAATAAAATAAAAACAATAATCAATATAAACAGAATCAACAAACAATTATATAAAACAAGTCAAGATGATATGACAACACTTAAGTTAAAGTGAATATGCCTGTTTGAACAGGTGTGTTTTCAGCTGTGATTTAAAAGAGAGAAGAGAGTCTGTGTTCCTGATGACAGGAGGGAGGGAGTTCCAGACCAGAGAAGCACAGAGACTGAAGACTCTGTTCCCCATTATAAAGAGACGGGCAGAAGGAACAATAAAATGAGTGGCAGATGAGGATCTGAGGGAACGGGAAGCAGTGGAGATGTGAAGCAGATCACACAGGTAAGGAGGGGCAAGGTTATGGATGCACTTGAACGTGAGAGTTAAAATTTTGAAATTTATTCTAGCTTGCACCCAGTGAAGCTGTTGCTGGACTTGGGTGATGTGTTCTCTGAATGGGGTACAAGTTATGACCCGAGCTGCAGAGTTCTGGAGGAGTTTGAGTTTATGGAGAGTCTTATTCGGGAGACCAAAAAGAAGAGAGTTGCAATAATCGACCTGGGAGATGATAAGGCTATGGACAAGGATGGCAGCAGCATGACAAGCAAGAAAGGGACAGAGTCGGTTAATGTTGCATAAGTGAAAGTATGCAGACTGGGTGATATAATTAATATGAGATGGAAATGAGAGCGTATTATCAAGTATGACACCCAGACTCTTTACCTGAGGGGAAAAATGAACATGGGAGTTGTCTCTATTGATGGAAAAACTCTGAGATTTGGTTAAAGTGGAGACTGTGCCAACAAGTAAAACTTCTGTTTTCTTACTGTTAAGTTTAAGAAAATTTGAGGAAAATCATGAACTAATTTCCATAAGACAGTCCGATAGGAGGTAGGTGGAAGGGATGAATTGAGTTTTGAGGAAATGTAGAGCTGGGTGTCATCTGCATAACAATGGAAAATGATGTTATATTTGCAGAATATGTGGCCAAGAGGGAGCATGTAAATAATGAATAAAAGGGGCCTTAATACAGAACTCTGGGGCATACCTGCAGAAACGGGAAACAAACTTGAGGAATGGGATTTAAATTGAATAAACTGAGTGCAGCCTGAAAGATATGAGGTAAACCAAGCAATATGAGTATGACTGATGCCAGTGGATGCTAATTGAGGTAGCTTTAGCTGAGTGGTTAGAGCTGTTGTCCTCTGATGCAAGAGTTGGGGGTTTGATTCCACCAGCAGTCACATGCCGGAGTGTCCCTGGGCAAGACAATGAAACCCTCATTGCCTCCAATGTGTGTCCCGTTGGTGTATGAATGTGATAAAGCGCTGATTAGTCTCTTTAGAATGATTTGTTCAATTATCGGTAGCTTTGTAGAGCTCTATTAGAGTGCTGTATGAATGGGTAAATGGGTTCACAGATTGTAGTGTAAAGTGGAGTTGCATTCGGGCCCAAAAAATCTGATCCAACCCGGCGCCAGCCCGCAGTAATAATTTCCAAACCCCACCCAACCTGATGAGTTAACAGTAATTACAGGTCTAAACCTGGAAAAAAAACCTGACATTTTTAATTGTTTATTAACGGTCGGGGATATGCAGCTGAATAAATGGGGCAGAAAATTCAGAGCTAAGAGGTGTTTGTCCTTTCATAGCCATAAAAAAGCATTTAAACCCTGTTTCTGCCTGCATTCTTCTGAATTACTGAGACATGCGGACAGCTCTGACACACGACTGCTTTGGGATCTCACCTGTTTGGGCCATCAGCTGCGTGCGTCCACTGAGTGTAACGGCAGAATGAACGTCTATTTGGGCGATGGATCGCTGCCTGGCTTTATAGTCCCATCTGAAGCTTGACTGAACTTTTTACCTCTTTCAAGGCCAGTCAGCTCGCGGTGAAATGGCCACGTGCTGCTGGTCATGGATGTATGGCAAGCCATGTTATCATATAATTGGATCACGGCTGATCCTGACCTAGTTAAAAGCCCAAGACCAGCCCAGCCCGCCCATTAATCACATTATAACGGCCCGGCCCGGCCTGGCCCTAATCCGGGTCAGTCCAGGCCGAATTTTGGGTTTGGGTTAGAAATGACAGCTGTAGTACAAAGTGCTTTGAGTTTCTCAGTAAGATAGAAAGGCACTATGCAAGTACAGTCCATTTACCATTTACTTGACAGATGCTTAATGCATACTGATAATAATTTGTACCAAACCAGATATGGTAGAGTACCCAAACCAAACCATAAGTATTTAGATTGAGAGTACACGGACGTCGTATTTTTTGTTTTCAAAACCTGTTTTTATTTCATGTAATGATGTAAAGCTACATCTGTGACTGTAATTACAGTGCATTTAAGTTTAAAGGTGAATTTTTAATTTCAGATAATCAATAACCTTTTATACATTTATTTTACCAGGAAATTTGTTAATTTTGTTTTGCTTGGAAGCCCAGAGCTTTAAAATGGGGATGTAGATAACTGTTAAGTTTGTCCTGATGCATGCTCAATAATCCAGGTAGAAAAATCTAAAAAAGTTAAATCTGGTCCTCTGGAAATTCAAAAAAACAAAACAAAAAAAATTGTAGAAATGTTTCGTCTTTCATCCGAAAGACTTCCTCAGTCTGAGGTGCTGTATTCAGCTCAGTCTTATAAATAGCACCTTCTCATAGTGGATCAACCAGTTTACTGCTGACAACCAAAACCAGCTGCTCACATGATCAAGAAGGACCATCAGCCTAACAATGGATCATTAGCACCTGATGGCTGTTTACTATTCACAGGAGGCTGAGTGATACTAGCAATAACAGCATTGTAAGAGGGGGATAGTTGAGTTGAGGGATGTCATAATGGCGACTAATGAAACAATAGTCTCTTTTGATGTCACATCACTCTTTACGTGCATTCCTGTTGATGATGCAGTAGAGGTGGTCAGTTTAAAATTAAAATCAGACACCACTCTGAGCAGCAGGACCACACTTTCCACAGAACAACTGTGTCAACTCTTGAAACTGTGCCTGCAGTCAACCTACTTCACATATGGGGAGCAATATTATAGGCAGAAACATGGGTGTGCTATGGGGTCTCCAGTTTCTCCTATTGTTGCCAACCTGTACATGGAGGAGGTAGAAAAGAGAGCCTTGACGTCCTTTTCAGGGACACCACCAAGTCATTGGTTCAGGTATGTTGACGACACCTGGGTTAAAATTAAATCTCAGGAAGTCCAACATTTTACTGACCACATCAACTCTGTGGATAAATACATCAAGTTCACACGAGAAGATGTAAAAAATGGCA